GGTTTTTATAAGATGGCTTGGCCCAGGGACCGCTTAGTGTAAGTGTTGGGCCCATAGGGTCCATGTGATGGGCTCAGGGGGTTCACTGGGCTTTCCAGTGAATTCGGCTAGGCCTTGTAACAGAGGTTGGGGCGAACCCATGTGGCTGATGTGTAGATCAATGCTTGGGTCCCACGCCATACAAAGAAGACCAACTGGGCAGCAGTTTGGAAGACTATTGAGCACTTAATACATATTGGGCCTAAATCCCACTTCGATCTGGGCTGATTTGATCAGTCACTTAAGGGGGCGGATCTGAGATTAGGTTAAGCCCAAAAGCTTATCTAATCTGCAAATAAGATTAAGAGGAGTCCTAATCCAAATACAAATTTGGATAAGGGCAACTCCTAATATGATTAGGAGACTTACTTAATCACTAAGAAAGAGGAGGAAAACCCTAATTTCGAATTACTTGAATTCGAACCCTAGGTGTTTTTAGCAGAACATTCTGCATTCTTGAGATAAGATCTCAGATAACCCTAGAGAAGAAAATAGCAATTCGCCACCTTCTTCTCTAGCATTCTTCTCCAGCAGCCGCCGCCACCACCTTTTTTGCCAGTTCGAGTTCTCAGTTAGAGAAAATCAAGAAAGGTTCTTGATTGTTCGTGTGGTGCTCACAATCTTTCATCGAGTTCTTCAGAAGAACCTGGTTCGTGGGACGAACACTGCTGGTTCGGCTCCATCATCATTGTGTCATCTTCAGTGGGAGCTGATCTTGGATCTTCTTTGGGCGTGAATACCAACGTTGGGAGATACTGCTTCTCTGGATCAGGTATAATCCCTCCCTTCTCTCTTGGTTCAAATTTGGTCTGGTTTGGTTCAAGTAGGATCCTTGAATTTTGATTCTAAAATCAGGGAATGCGATTCTAGTTGGAAGAAAGGTAGGAAATTTTTGAAATTCGCYCACCCATTCCGCATCCCTTTTGGCGTCCATAAGATGGATCCTACCATTCTTTCAAGAGGTTGCAAGTGTACAAATTCTGGGTAAAGCAGCAAAAGATTGCAGAATAGTWTGCAATGAACTCAAGAATGAGTGGGAGAAAAAGTTTATAGTAACTTCTACAGTACTTCCGAAAAACTGGAGGACAGTTGCAGAAGAGTTATTAAAGAAGTTAAACTTGAACTGTACTGT